GCGGAAAGGCTTCTCGGAGATCCTCCAAGGGTCTCACAGCCAACAAGAGAGCACTGGATCATCAGGCTTCGACGGTGAAGTGGTTGGCTTGAAACCGCGCCACAACGGACGATCTTAGGACTGCCTTGGAGGTTTGCTGGATGGCGCGTGAAGTTGTTTCGCGACGGAATTTGCGCATGATTCGTATTCGTCATATCGGCAGTGTGTCGGGTCACCATTCTTGGAGTCTGCCGTGGACAATGCGAGCATGCGTGGTCGTGCGGCCTGCGAAGTATCGGGGCGGAGCACGTGGTTCCGCCGACCTCGTGAAGAGAGCAGCCCTGGCGCAAACGACCGAGTGAGGACGAATGCAAGTGGCAGAGGCGCTTTCCTGTGAGGGCGAAAATCTGGTGGCCTTCGGCCCATCCTGCCGGTGCGCTTGAGGCCTTGGGGTCATTTTCTGGGCCCTTGTGCGGGTGGGTCTGGGGGCCCTTGCGGCGGCTCCTGTGCTTTCCACCGGACTCCTGGTGGGTTTTTCATTTGGATTCTCCGAGGTGCTCTGTCGTTCCTCAAGGTTCCTGCGGATTCCTGCGGGCTCGCGCGGACTTCTTCTGGGTCCTTCGGACTCCTTGGGGTTCCTTGGGATCCTTTTGGGGTCCTTACGCTCCCCTTGGGATTCCTCGAGCGTTCCCGTGGTCATTCTGGACTCCTCCGAGTTTTGCAGGGGTTTTCAAGGTTCCCTGGGATCCCCTGGCTTCCTCGACTGGATTCCGTGGCATCGGTTCGTGCACCGCCGTTCACAAGGCGGGCATAAGAAGCGCTGGACTGAAATCTGAGGCCGCCATTGCACATCATGTTGCAGAGTTCTGGTCTTTCTTACTCTTGTGCGCCGCTTGCGATTGATTCTCATGCATAGCCGCACGTGCTCTTGTCTTTTCACTGTTGTCTCACCCATCTTCCCATCTTGCACTGTCCTTCATTGCCTTCTGTAATCATATGATGTTCATTATTGTTGCGGCCCGGCGCACTGCCGGAGCAGGCAGGCCTCCCCTCCTGCCTCCAAGGGCCGTCGCATCATCGCATCATCATCTCTCAGGACTTCTCAGGAGCCCCCTTGGCTCCCGAGGAAGTCCCCGAGATTCCGAGGGCTCCTCCTCGAAGGGACCCCGTCCGCGAGCGGATTCTCGGCCGCGGCGCGGCAGAGCCGCGCAGCATCCCCGTGGTGCGAAGGGCGTGCGCGTGAGCTGCAGGGCCACCGCCGAAACTTGTGGATGTGTACGGGGAGGAGAGTGAGCGTTCTTTTATTCCCTACCTAGGCTCTGCCTAGAAGGGTTCTTACTCGCTTGGCTTAAAGGGGCCGGGCAGTGCAAACCGCCCCGGGCGGTTCCCCCGGTCCCATGGGAGCCAAGCAAAAACAACAGCAAAGGTAAAAGCAAACGCGCGTTTCCCCCAGTTGCGCTCCCTGGGTGCCAAGCAAAAGCAAAAGCAAAGGCAAAAGTGAAGGCAAAAACGAAGGCACAGCAAAAACATAGCATAGCATAACATAGCATAGCATAGCATATCATAACATAACATAGCATAGCATAGCATAACGCAGCATAGCATAGCGCAGCATAACATAGCATAGCATAGCATAACATAGCATAGCATAGCATAGCATGCCAAGTCGTGCGGTGTAGGCCTGATCCAGAGCATTCTCAAGCACACCCAGTGAGCGAATGCAAACACATGCGTGTGCGTATGTGTGTGTGTGTGTGTTTGTTTGTGCGCGGGCAAAGCAAAAACAAAACCAAACAAATCAAACACAACAGCAAAACAACAACACCAGCAACAACAACAGGAACAACAAAGGCAAAGTCAAAACCAAAGGCAAGAGCAAAAACAAAGGCAATGCAAAGCAAAAGCAAAACCAATGCTCATTTGTATATGTAGATGTAGATGTAGGTGTAGGTGTAGATGAGGATGTAGGTGTAGATGTAGATGTAGATGAAGGTGTAGATGTAGGTGTAGATGTAGATGTAGATGTAGATGTGAGTTTCGCTGTTGATGTAGATGTAGATGTCGATGCATGTGTGGATGTAAATGTAGCTGTAGGTGTAACTGTAGATGTAGGTCTAGGTGTAGATGTAGGTGTCGATGTAGATGTATATGTAGACATATATGTAGATGTAAAGAACTCCCCAAGTGCCCCGCCCTCATCTCCGTGCCTGCTTGCTCTTGGTGCTGTCTCGGCGACTTGCTGCCTGCTTCTGCTGCTGCTTCACTTACGGCTTGGCGTCGGCGGTTCTGGCGCTACTACTACTACTACTACTACTACTACTACTACCTACCTACCTACCTACCTACCTACCTACCTACCTACCTACCTACCTACCTACCTACTACTACTACTACTGCTACTGCTACTGCTACTGCTACTGCTACTGCTACTGCTAGTGCTACTGCTACTGCTACTGCTACTACTACTACTACTACTACTACTACTACTACTACTACTACTACTACTACTACTACTACTACTACTACTGCTACTACTACTGCTCCTGCTGCTGCTGCTACTACTACTACTACTACTACTACTACTACTACTGCTGCTGCTGCTGCTGCTGCTGCTGCTGCTACTACTACTACTACTACTACTACTACTACTACTACGACTACTACTACTACTACGACTACTACAACTACCACGACTACTACAACTACCACTACTACCGCTACTGCTACAACTACGACGATGAGGAGAAGGAGGAGGACGGCGTTTACCGCTCCTACTAATGTTGCTTTCCTAGAGGCTCCAACTCCTAGGTAGTGTCGCACTGGGATAATTCCTTGTTTTGCCGATCAGCGCGGGACCCCCCCCCCATGGAGTAGATCTTGGTTGTTTTGGGCGCCTGTCTCGAGCAGGCGGAGCTTCGCCCCCCCAGGACGCACCGCTGCAAACAGTGGCACCGAGCAGAGGTCCGGAGCAAGATCCCCCCCTCCTCCCCCCCCTTGCCGCCCAATGTCGAAACGCCGAATCAAAAAATGCTCACAACACCGCCGCCGAGTTTGAGGTTTCCGGGTCGTAACTCGAGTCTCCGGCGGCCGGTCGGATCGGTGGGCGCCCCGGGAACGTTCTCGGCGACGCGCAGCTGCTGGAGAGCACCCCGAGGCGGGAAAGCCGCCGAGGGCCCAAGAACACGTTCGAAAACCTCGAGCCTCGAACCTCGACCCCCCCCACCCCTCTGAGCCTGCCCCCCCGCCGTCACACGCCTGAGCGACGCAGAAAAACGGAGTCGTCCTCACCGACGTTGGCGCGCAAGCGTCCCGCGTGAGGTCGCGCGCGGGCGCCCTCGTTTCCAGTGTGGTGTGGCACGCTGGCGGTCCGCGTAAGCCACCGCGAAAGGTCGCTATGCCATCTCGCGCAAGTCAGAGCGGGAAAACACACACACACACAGACACAACGGATCGTCGATTCCCGGGACACTGCGGGAAAACATGGGGAGTGTGGGGGGGGAAGACAGAAGCCCAGAAGCTGTGGGGAAAACGTGGGGGATCCTGGGATCTGTGCCTGTTCATCGGCGTGTTCCTGGACCCCTTCGGCATGGCGCCGAGCCTCGGGCGTCGAGCCTCGGAGGCGGGCTGCCTCGGCGCACGGCCGGACGACGCTCTGGCGCTCGGCCCGGCCGGGTGGGGGGCTGGGCTGCCGCGCGTGCCTCCAGCGGGTGCGCTCTGGGCGCCCCACGGGTCAGTCATCGTTTGAGCGATGCCCATCCCCACCGAGGTTCGAGGCTCGAGGTTTTCGAACGTGTTCTTGGGCCCTCGGCGGCTTTCCCGCCTCGGGGTGCTCTCCAGCAGCTGCGCGTCGCCGAGAACGTTCCGGAGGCGCCCATCGATCCGACCGGCCGCCGGAGACTCGAGTTACGACCCGGAAACCTCAAACTCGGCGGCGATGTTGTGAGCGTTTTTTTATTCGGCGTTTCGACATTGGGCGGCAAGGGGGGGGGGCGGATCTTGCTCCGGACCTCTGCTCAGTGCCACTGTTTGCAGCGGTGGGTCCTATGAAGGGAGACCCCACCCGCTCGAGGCAGGCGCCCAAAAACAGCCAGGATCTACTCCATGGGGGGAGGGGGGGCGGAGGGGGGTTAGGGGGGCCCGCGCCGATCGGCAAACAATGAATAACAAAAATATGATCACTTGAGCGATGCCCATCCCCATCGCCGTCCCCATCCCGACCCCCACCACCGCACCACCCCAGTGGGGGACACGTTCTTCGAAGCCCGAGGTGAGCAGGCCATCTCCCCTATGAGGGCTGGTCCATCGGCCGCTCGGGGCCGGGCCCTTCGGCTCTGGGGACAGGGATCGGTGAAACGATGCTCCGCTGGGCTGCCGCGCGTGCCTTCAGCAGGTGGCCTTCTGGGTGTTCCACAGGAGGAGGAGGAGGAGGAGGAGGAGGAGGAGGAGGAGGAGGAGGAGGAGGAGGAGGAGGAGGGAGGAGGAGGAGGAGGAGGAGGAGGAGGAGGAGGAGGAGGAGGAGGAGGAGGAGGAGGAGGAGGGGGGAGGAGGGGAGGAGGGGAGGAGGAGGAGGAGGAGGAGGAGGAGGAGGAGGAGGAGGAGGAGGAGGAGGAGGAGGAGGAGGAGGAGGAGGAGGAGGAGGAGGGAGGAGGAGCAGGAGGAGGAGGAGGAGGAGGAGGAGGAGGAGGAGGAGGAGGAGGATGCGAGGCCTTCAAGACGCTCAGGCCCCCTCGAGCCGTGGAAAGATCACGACGGGAGTGGTCTCGCCATTTTCGGCCTCTGGCGACCCTGGCCCGCCCTCGGGGCCGTCAGAAAACGGCTCAGGACGAAAAACTGGTCCCGAGGAGGGGGTCGAGACAGCTGGGGGTCGACGTGATGAAAAAAAGCATGGCGTTCAAGGAGGGGCCTCGCCTTGGAGGATCGAAGGAGTGGATATCTCTTCCTCGGCGGGAGGCGGCGGAAAAGGGGGGCGGAAGCCACGAGGGTGTCTCCGCCGGCGCATGCCGGCAGAAGGCCCGCATGCCGGCGGAAGGCCGGCAGAAGGCTGGCGGAAGTAAAAATTTGCCTCCCACGAGATGGCAGAGTTTGTCCGTGGCCATTTTTGCTCAAGTCTTTTCGGTTCAGGTCGGGAATAACATACCCAACACACTAATCTATTCCACGCGCGCAAGCGGTACGACATCCTATTCAATCAGGTGAGATGACGGCTCGGGTGGCAACGACAATTTCTTTGGTTGCAAGCTTCTTTCAAGCTGTACCCGGTGCGACATCCATGAAAGCGTCAATGGTTGCTAGTACTTCTCAAAAGTTTAAAGCCTCGAATGCTGCGGAACAACTCCTGGGCGTGGTGACTTGTGGCCAGTCCAGCCTCCGGGATGACTACGACGCCGCGGCGCCCTTCTCCGAGGGGGCCGCCGGCAGCTTCCAGTCTACGGGCCAAGTGGGAACGTGGGAGTTTCTCGCCGCCAGCTCGATGAATTCAGGCACGGGCACTCCGCTCACATTCACCAGCTCCAGCAACAATGTTCGTACTGGGAACACGTTCATTCGCTCAGGACAGGTGCTCGACCTCCCCACCATCGGGCTCGGTGTCAACAGCGCGGTCATCTCGCCCAGCACTAGCGAGGGCCAGATCGAGGCGGGCTACCTCGGGCTGCACCCCGGCTATGAAGGAAATTCGGAGAAGTACCTCCTGGTGCGATTCACTCCGGCAGCGGGGGCGACGGTCTTCTTCGATTTCACGATCAAGGAACTGGGCGTAGAGTGTGGTGGCCTCGAAGCATCGGTGAGAGTCGGCGGAAGTATGCTGTCGTCGACGACAGCGATCAGAAGCGGGGCACCATGGTCATTCCAGAACAGCGTCGCCACGGGCGACCCAATCGAGGTGTACATTGGCCCCGGAGTGCACTATGCCTGCGACCACTCGGAGATCCACATGCACGTGCTTGGGTCCACCTGCCCTTCCACGCCGACGCCAGCACCAACGCTCGCACCGACGCCCAGCCCGACACCCAGCCCATCGCAGGCGACGTCGTTGTCCTCCGCCACCGGCGACCCACACCTGCAGAACATGTTCGGTCAGCGGTTCGACTTGGTGAGGCCGGGTACGTTTGTCTTGGTTAGCGTTCCGCGCGGAACGCCCGTCGAGGATGCGCTGCTTGTTGTAAAGGCCGACGCGCATCGATTGGGGTCACATTGCTCGGACATGTACTTCCGGGAGATCAACGCCACGGGGAAGTGGGCGAACAAGGCGCGGCCCGGAGGCTTCCACTTCGACGCTCGCGACGCGCGAGACGAGACGCCGGAGTGGCTGAAACTCGGGCCTGTGGAGCTCAAAGTCGGCAGCGGTCACACCGACAAGGGGCAGCCTTACCTCAACGTCTACGTCAAGAACCTTCAACGCACTGGGTATCGTGTCGGAGGCTTGCTGGGAGAGGATGACCACACGGAGGCGGCGGCGCCTGAGAAAGGGTGCCAGAAGATGCTGTCTCTGGATGCGCGTTTGTATGGCCAAGCTGAGAATCTACAGGGCTCCGTCGCAATCGCCAACTGAGCCGAGGGCTCCCGGCTCCGCGCGGGGCGGACGAGCCCGCCAGCAGGGGTCGTTCAGCAGCGGGGAGTCTTCAGCGGGTCACTCGGTATGCCACTCGCGCCCGGGCGTGTAAGGCTGCTGGGCCGACTTGCAGGTGAGCTCCGCCTGCGGACATGGTCGCCTCTGCTTACCAAGACCGTTCTGCTCTCGGGCCAGCCAGACATCTTTCATATATACCGGAAACCTGGCCCCAGGGGCTCCTGGGCCCCAGTGCACCAGGGGCACCCAGACAACACCAAGTTCCCTCCCGGCTCCCGGAGCGTTCCTGGAGCCTCCCCTGAGCTTCCCCGGGGCGCCCCCGGGGAAGCCAGATTTATTCCAAGAGGGTCACGGACGGGCCAGGATGGATTCCGGACAGCCCAAGATGGCTTCTAGACGGCCCAAGGGGCCCCCGAGACGGCTCCAAGAGGACCACCACGAGGGCCCCAAGAGGCAAACATCGTTTCATTCCTTCAGGAAAACGTATGTTTTTCGCATGTTGACTTTTTTGGTCTTCGCAGCATGCAAGACGACCTAAGAGGCCTCCAACATCGCTTCAAGACGGCCCAAGAGGCCCCCAGGAGGCCCCCCAGACGGCCAATGAAGGCTTCAAGACGGCCCCAGAGGCGCCCAAGACGGAGGCTCCCAAGAGGCCCCCAAGAGACCAAACTATGCCCCCAGGACGCCCGCACGAGTCCCCGAGAGGGCGGCCCCCAACAGGCCAGCCCAAGACGGTACAATACCGACGCAAGAGGGCCGACCACCTTCCATAACCCCCCCCGCACACAAGATGGCTTCAGGACATTCATGGTGAGGCGGATCTCAAACACCCAGCGAACGTGTGGAGTATCCCCCACGATCTCCCCGGAGGAGCTTCTCTGCTCGGTCCGCGCTCTTGTGCCCTCAGGCCAGGTTGACACCGTTCGTGGCCACCCACATGCAGGCAGCTGTGAGCTTGTCAGTGGCCGAGGCTTGCTAGAACCTCAGCGCGCGAAGCGCGCACGTGGTTCTAGATAATAAATCCGGCGACTGGATCCCTGGGCCAGGGGGCGGCCTTTTTTTCCCCCCCCCCCCCCCGCCTGGCCCGCCCGGCGTCAAATCTTAGTCCCCGGAGCCGGCAGGCCTTTTTTGGTGTGGTCCGAGTCCGGGTGGTCGTATGGACCTCGAAAATCTTTCTCGGCACTCCCACAGCACGCTCAGAGTCCGCTAAGACGGTTCCAATACGACCCAAACTGGTCGCAAAAGGGCCCAGGGTTCAAGAGGCCCTCAAGGCGGCCGAAGACGGCCCGAAGAGGATTCCCAGAGGCTTTCCAGGAAGCCTCCGAGAGCCCTAAACTGTTGACAATTAATTGGGTTTCTTGCGATTTGTCATTCTGGCCCAGATTCTCTTAACAACATCCAAGACGGCTGACGTGGCCCCCTATTGCTGTTAAGGCGAACAACGAGGCTCCCAAGAGGGCCCCAAGACTGCCCAGAGTCACTTCCAGAGGGCCCAAGAGGCACCCAAGGCGAGCCCAAGAAGCCCCGAGGACGGCCCGATGACGGCCCCAGAAAGCGCCCAGATTTCCCACGGAGGCATTCAAAACGGCCTCCGAAGGCGTTTGTGGGGCCACGAACGCTCTGAGACAGCCCAGGATGCCCCCAAAGACCCCGAGAGGCCCCCAAAGCGCCCCGAAGAGGCCTCCAATAGCCCCAAATAGTCTTCCAAAGATGCCCCCAAGAGCTCCCCCAGATGATCCAAAGAGACCCCAAAGAAGCCCCACGAGGGCTTGGACACAATCGGTACCACGACGACCCACCAAGCTCTGAGGATGTCCCCAGAGCTTCCCAAGTGGCTGAGAAGAGACTTCAAGACGACCCAAGGGAGTCCCAAGACTGCCCAAGAATAGCTTGGATAATTAGCTCAAGAGGCTTTCGCGACGTCCGCGAGAGGTGGCCCCACAGGGCACCCGTCGTTGCATAACTTCGCTTTCTTTTTTCGGGTGGGCCCGTGTCGATTCGTCTCAGTTGGATCCGCGGTCTTCTTATTTCTTCAATTCATGTTCAAGGCAACGGTGCGTGTCTATTTGAGTGCAGTTGTGAGCTGGCCAAGGGCTGGGGCGTACTAGAACCTAAGCGCGCGCGAAACGCGCGCTACGAGCATCGGAGTGACACGAAGCGAGCTAACGATTTTATTCCAGTTGTGCAATGTGTTCCTCCTGCAACTCCGCTCGAATCGTAGTCTGAGGCGTTCCTCGAGGAGCAGGAAGGAGGGGACGATGCAAACATGTAAAATCTGGGGAATCCTCCTCAGCATTTCAACGCCGATGCCGTCGACGACGACGACGGCAACGACGACGGCGGCGGCGGCGGCCGTTGCAGTGACAACGATGGCGGAGAGAGCGCATTAAATGGCTCGCACCATATAGGAGACGCCACTACAGTGGTGACTTTGTCAAGGATCTGCGAACAGCTGTGAACAACATGCGTACATGCACGCAGCCGTGAACGAGTCGAGGGCGGGTGCTTACTAGAACCTAAGCGCGCGAAGCGCGTGCGTGTTCCGAGGGAGTAGAGCTCGGAGGCGATCCGTTCCAAAGTAGTGTTCTGTTTTTTTGGCCACAGGAGCAGAACACGGAGGTGAAGAAGGAGAAGGAGGAACAGGAGGAGGACTCTTCCCCGCTGCTGAACGCCGACCATCGCAACAGAGTTACCTGGCTTTCCGGCCCTTTGAATGCGACGCTGCCAGTGGAGCTCCTCTTCCCTTTTGTGCTCTTCAATGCCCCGACGGCTGGATCTGCTCGCGCAGCTACCTCTGCCGATAAGGCAGCCGCTGTGGAGGTTCTGGCCAGGGTCACGTTGCACACAACATCCTCATCCTCATCCTTACCCTCATCACATTCCGCTTTTTCATCATCCTCACCTGCCCTCACTGAGCGCCTGTCCGTGGACTGCGGTAACAAAAGTTTTTGTTGTTGTTGTTGTTGTTGTTGCTGTGGTTGTTGTTTTTTGTTTTCTTGTTTGTTTTCTTTGTTGTTTCTTTTTTTGTTTATTTTTTTATATTTTATTTTTTGGCAGAATTGTTAAAACCCAAACAACTTGTGTTGCTGGGTCCTCGTTTACAAAGGGCAGTGCCCCGCGTTTCTCCTTCCTCTTCTTCCTGCTTCTCCTCATGCTCATCCTCCTCCCTTCTTTTCGCGCATCATCGGCATCATCACCATCGACATGGCCATCAGCATCAGCATCCAATTTCAGGTCGGGAACAACATACCCAACACACTAAACTATTCCACGCGCGCAAGGAGGAGGAGGAGGAGGAGGAGGAGGAGGAGGAGGAGGAGGAGGAGGAGGAGGAGGAGGAGGAGGAGGAGGAGGAGGAGGAGGAGGAGGAGGGGGAGGAGGAGGAGGATGCGAGGCCTTCAAGACGCCCAGGCCCCCTCGAGCCGTGGAAAGATCACGACGGGAGTGGTTTCGCCATTTTCGGCCTCTGGCGACCCTGGCCGGCCCTCGGGGCCGTCAGAAAACGGCTCAGGACGAAAAACTGGTCCCGAGGAGGGGGTCGAGACCGCTGGGGGTCGACGTGATGAAAAAAAGCATGGCGTTCAAGGAGGGGCCTCGCCTTGGAGGATCGAAGGAGTGGATATCTCTTCCTCGGCGGGAGGCGGCGGAAAAGGGGGGCGGAAGCCACGAGGGTGTCTCCGCCGGCGCATGCCGGCAGAAGGCCCGCATGCCGGCGGAAGGCCGGCGGAAGGCTGGCGCAAGTAAAAATTTGCCTCCCACGAGATGGCAGAGTTTGTCCGTGGCCATTTTTGCTCAAGTCTTTTCGGTTCAGGTCGGGAATAACATACCGAACACACTAATCTATTCCACGCGCGCAAGCGGTACGACATCCTATTCAATCAGGTGAGATGACGGCTCGGGTGGCAACGACCATGTCTTTGGTTGCAAGCTTCTTTCAAGCTGTACCCGGTGCGACATCCATGAAAGCGTCAATGGTTGCTAGTACTTCTCAAAAGTTTAAAGCCTCGAATGCTGCGGAACAACTCCTGGGCGTGGTGACTTGTGGCCAGTCCAGCCTCCGGGATGACTACGACGCCGCGGCGCCCTTCTCCGAGGGGGCCGCCGGCAGCTTCCAGTCTACGGGCCAAGTGGGAACGTGGGAGTTTCTCGCCGCCAGCTCGATGAATTCAGGCACGGGCACTCCGCTCACATTCACCAGCTCCAGCAACAATGTTCGTACTGGGAACACGTTCATTCGCTCAGGACAGGTGCTCGACCTCCCCACCATCGGGCTCGGTGTCGACAGCGCGGTCATCTCGCCCAGCACTAGCGAGGGCCAGATCGAGGCGGGCTACCTCGGGCTGCACCCCGGCTACGAAGGAAATTCGGAGAAGTACCTCCTGGTGCGATTCACTCCGGCAGCGGGGGCGACGGTCTTCTTCGATTTCACGATCAAGGAACTGGGCGTAGACTGTGGTGGCCTCGAAGCATCGGTGAGAGTCGGCGGAAGTATGCTGTCGTCGACGACAGCGATCAGAAGCGGGGCACCATGGTCATTCCAGAACAGCGTCGCCACGGGCGACCCAATCGAGGTGTACATTGGCCCCGGAGTGCACTATGCCTGCGACCACTCGGAGATCCACATGCACGTGCTCGGGTCCACCTGCCCTTCCACGCCGACGCCAGCACCAACGCTCGCACCGACGCCCAGCCCGACACCCAGCCCATCGCAGGCGACGCCGTTGTCCTCCGCCACCGGCGACCCACACCTGCAGAACATGTTCGGTCAGCGGTTCGACTTGGTGAGGCCGGGTACGTTTGTCTTGGTTAGCGTTCCGCGCGGAACGCCCGTCGAGGATGCGCTGCTTGTTGTCAAGGCCGACGCGCATCGATTGGGGTCACATTGCTCGGACATGTACTTCCGGGAGATCAACGCCACGGGGACGTGGGCGAACAAGGCGCGGCCCGGAGGCTTCCACTTCGACGCTCGCGACGCGCGAGACGAAACGCCGGAGTGGCTGAAACTCGGGCCTGTGGAGCTCAAAGTCGGCAGCGGTCACACCGACAAGGGGCAGCCTTACCTGAACGTTTACGTCAAGAGCCTTCAGCGCACTGGGTATCGTGTCGGAGGCTTGCTGGGAGAGGATGACCACACGGAGGCGGCGGCGCCTGAGGAAGGGTGCCAGAAGATGCTGTCCCTGGATGCGCGTGTGTATGGC